TCTCTTTTGTTATCTAAAACTCATTTATCTCTTTTTATTTTGCTTAATATTCTCTAATATCTTCATTTATCTCCAATTTCTTATTTCTTCCTTATTTTATTTTTCTTTTTTAATTTTATCTCCAATACTATCATTTTCTCCAACTTCATTTTTATCATATTTTCCAAATTATGCTATTTTTTTTTAAAAAAAATTATCTTTAATATGATAATTATCTTTAACATAATAACTTATACAAATTAATAAAAAATAAAAACCCAAAACATTCTCTATAAATTAAATAAATTTAGATATATATATATATATATTCATTCATTCTTATTTTTTTCCAATAAATTTTTTTTTCCTACATGTTGTTTTAATTATAAATTTTAACCTTTCAAATATCCTTTATCTCTTTTTATTTCATTTTTATTTTTATTTTTTGCTTAATCTTCTCTAATATCTTCATTTATCTCCAAATTCTTATTTCTTCTTTATTTTCTTTTGCTTTTTAATTTTATCTCAAATCCTATCATTATCTCCAACTTCATTTTATCATATTTTTCAAATGATCCTATTATTTTTAAAAATTTTTTTTTCTTTAATCTGATAATTATCTTCAATTTCATTTCTATGTGATAATAATCTCCAATTTCATTTCTATTTAAATATTTAAATGCTTCACATTTCAGCTATATAACATGCCATCAATTTTTTTAGTGTTCTCATACTGGGTATAAAGTTTAGTTCAAACTTTGCGTTAAGATTTGAATTACATTCAAGCGTCAATAACGCTATAATCGGTCAAGCAATTATAAGATTTTATAGTTTGATGAATTTTATTTTCTTTGCTTGTGTGCCTATGTATTTATGTGGTGGAGGCATTTTTTATCGTTGTTTGGGAGAGTTAAGTGTAGGTCCTAATAGGTGGACTTATTGCCCAATAGATCCTATGATAATTAATAATATTTTTCATCGAACACTATTAAAAAATCATTAATTGTTAATTTTTAGCAATAGTTTGAAAATTGTGTCACAAAAATGTCACTAATTATATGTTTTAGCGACAGTTTTAAAAAATCGTCACAAAAAAGTTTACTAATATTTAACTTTCAGTGATAGTTTGAAAATTTTATTACAAAAAAATGTTACTAATTGTATATTTTAGCGACAATTTATAAAAATCATTAATAAAAAAAAGTTACTAATTATTAATTTTTAGCGACATGTAAAAAATTATAAAAAAAATTATCTTTAGCGACAATTTTACTAGAACTTATTTTCAATAAAATTTGATAAAAATTAAGTCTAATTATTAGCACCTATAGATAGTTTCTGTCTGATTTTTTTTTTTATTGAAAAACAGCTTCAGCCCAAATTTTTCCTCGACAACCGCACGTGAGGCCACCAATCACCACACAAGTAGCAAACTTCAATTCAGTCATTGCATGACCACTGCACGTACGACCAAAATGCACTACACGTGTGACGAAGCCACTGCTCGAGCGATCACTCCCCACTACACGAGCAGCCAACAGGGAAATGGTCGTTGCTTTTGTTCTCCTTGATTCACTAGACCTTACTACACTTGTTTAAAACCTGAAATAAAATTGGATGAGACTTAGAAACCGACCTAAAGAGATATTAGTTAAGAAAAGAAAGTTGAAATTTATTTCATTGATGTTTGTATTCTTATTTGTGTAGGTCAAGGACGTGTGGAGTATCCCGCGTATGAGAGCTCCTGTGAGTAATATTATTGCAAAGTTATATTTTAAAAAGTTGTTGAAAACTCGACAATATATCATGATTTGTGAAAACTTTATTTTGTTTTGAAATGAATAAATGTCCTATATTCTTTGTATTAATGAATTAGATGACATCCTTAAATTAGTTCTAGCCAGTGGAGGACAATAAACATACCATTGTCAGATGTTTGAGATCTCTCTCGCTACCTATGTGTGGGTTTGTCTAATAGGTGTACGGACCATTTAGTCCCTCGTTTCGTTTTAATAGATGTGCATTGTTATTATGTTTTAGATACAAATTGTTCTTGGAAGAAAATTTTGAATTCTTTTTAAAATGTGATAAGTTATTTATGTTTTGCAAATGAGATTTATATTCATTCATTCACTCACTATTTTTTTACGATATTATTCACTGAATTATGACTCACCTTATCTTCCTTATATGTATGCGGAGGTGATTGCAACAAAGAGCGAGGTTAGAAGGAGATTTTATTTTGAAGAGTTTGCCTTTGTATATGATTAATATCCAGTTTGTGATTTTTGTACTCTCATAAAGAGAGTTAGTTGAGTTGTAAAAGTTAGTTTGGGTTTTGTAATAGAAAAGTTTTAATGTTTGTACTTCTTATGATTATGTACAAGATGTAAATTATTCTAAAGTTAATAAAAAAAAAAAGGCTTGTATATTTTATTTCATATCTATTTATGCATTGTTCAGATAGATTTAATGGATTATCAAATGTAAAGCTTCTGTTGTTAGGCCCCAATATATTTTTATGCTTTGGTAATCAAAATTATTGGCCAGTTATCTCACTATTTCACTATCCTAATATGTTTGGTACGTTGATTTTGGATTAAAATAGTCAAAAAATAAAATAAATTAAAAAATTAATAAGACAAAATATCACATTCAAATCATAATTATTTTATTTTTTCTTTTACAAAAATAAAAAAATTTATCCTAAACAAAACTTTTAATCCCAAACTAAAATAATCAAATGGTGGGTCGTCTTGGCAGCTTCTTTTGGACCCCTGGGTATTATTTTAAGACGGATCTCATACATGTGTTGTTACCTTTCCATTGGTTGAGCTCCATTTAGTCACCTCAACCATTTTTCTGCTCTGACCAAGGACGGTGACAACGCTGAATTTTACTATATAATAAGATTCTTTGTACTGTTTCCAGCAACAATCTTAGCAACCTTAATCAGTGTTATACGCATTAAATACACCCCAACAACTATCAACTCCCGATTAACCCCAATTCCTCTTTAAATAGATATGCCTTCTCTCTCTTGAAGGCATGATTGAACATGCTTTCAATGCTTGAAGGTTTTAACTCACTTTTAGAGCATAAACCTCCTAGATACTCCATTAATGAGCTTTCATACTGAAACTTTTCTCTAGTTTATTGGATGGACTGGAGCGTACGGTTAGATTTTTGAGATCTATTATAGATTTCGTTTCGATAATTCGAATCGTTTAATGTGTAAACCTCATCGAGTACTTCATGTTTGTAAAAAATCACATTGATCAGATATCGGTAACTCCTTAATCGAAACACATTTTTATTAATAATTTAATTTTAAAATTATAATTATTATTGAAAAAAATATATTCTAATTAAGGGGCTACCGATATCCGATCAACGTAATTTTTTACAGACATAGAGTACTTGACAAGCTCTACACATTTAACAATTCAAATTATCGAAATGAGATCCATGGTGAACTCCACGAGACTTAACAATACGCTTCAGTCCACACAATAGATGAGAGAGAAGGTTCCCCCCTGGAAAAACTTTGCTGAGAACTGCACAAAACTCCCAGCTTTTCTCAATTACGCATATTGACCTTCAGCCGTAATAGATCCAGCTTCTGTCCGAGTTTTTTAGCTCATTATAAAGCCTTTACTTGGTCTTTTATAGACCATCTCACTTCTGAAACAACATTACACCTTGGAGAAGAGTCTTGTATGAGAACCCTACATTTTCTCTCTCCCTAGACACACTCATGATTTTCTCTCTTATATTTATTATGACTAACCAAGTAAATAGCTCTGCTCTGAAACATTTTTAGATCCAAGAGTGACTTTCAGCCAGCTCAAAAACACATCAAAGGTGTCCTTGATCCGGCTTGAAGATTTGGGGCCAAATGGCACCAGGTCTAGATCTGTCCGAAACCACTTGAGGAAGCTCTCAAGGCCCACGACGAATCACCCTACGTCATTGGTGTATATGGGTAATCATCTTCATATAGAATAGAACCTTAGAAGAAACTTCAACCATGAATTTTGTGAGAGGTCTTGTAGTTTAAAATTAGAAATTGAAGTATTTGACCTCTGTGGCCTCTTTACTTTTGCCCTAGGCAGCAAGAAAGAACACAACACTAGGGTTGGGTTAGTCGATGGACTTCATGTGCACCTTCAATAGTTACGACTCGATTCGATGTGGTTTGTGCCCTGACAGTAAAATATGAAGTTAAAATACATATTTCCATATTTTTCAATGTTTGGCAGAACAAAAGCTCAGTAAATAGACGACTTAGCAAATGAAATCCCACAAGTGACAACTTTTCCATGTGATGCATGAAAAAGTGTGTAAAATGTTTCACATCTAAACCAGCGGAGTGTTGATTAAAAGAGTATGCTGTTTTGGTTACACAAGTTATTACTTCATGTGATAAGGGCACGTCTAAAACCATCATAACACTAAACCACATTGGATTGTAATCAATCACATTTGAAACACAACACTAAAACCGCATTGCATAATGATAGGCTTTGCTCACTCACTCAAACGGTGGTGGGCAATGACATTATACGAAAAAAACACTTGCAATAGAAAGTACACAACAGAACATGGGGGACCTTACCAGATATTTCTACGGATTTATTGAACCTTCTCAACTTAATTTTCAAAAAAAAACAAGGACAAAAACAAAAACAAAACGCGGGAAAATACCCAAATCATTATTCACTTTAGTCCCATCAGTTGCTTTTTATTTTTTGAAAAAAAAAGAAAAAAGAAGATATTTCAACAGATTTATTTAAACTTACGAACTCCATATAAAGCAAAGTTATGCACCAAAGCTATGAATCTGGTTTAGCATGATTAACCGGCAGATTTGAAAAAAATGATTATCGGGCAGACCAAAACGCACAAACAAAAAGGGAAAGGCCTCGTTGTGTTGGTTCTCAAAAATTTAAAAAAAAAAACACCAAACTTCCATTATTGTAGCCTTCAAGAATTAATGCTGCAAAAGAAAATACTAACAATAGAAAGAGAACAGTGTACAAAAAAGTGCATTCATTCTTTTGTGTGTCACTTGCAAATTCACTTTTGAACATGTTAGAATGCACATCCCAAAGTAGCCCCAATTTTGGTCAAAAAGAGCAAATGCTGAGAGTACAGATAAAAGAAAACTCATTAACAGCACCCATCTTTAGAGACCCCAAAAAACAGTCAACTAACTCACAAGGTCAAATGAGTCAATTTGTACATAATGAAATAAAAACCAAATAAAAATATGTCCTCCACTGGAACTCACCTCCACAAATAACATTATCTCCTTAAAATTATAAAATGGCATACTGTTTGTTACCTTCTCTTGGCTGCGTTGTATTCTGTCAATTGATTGTAGGGGAAGGCAGGTCAATTGCTAACCCCCTTTGTTGGACTCTTTCCATCTCTCTGCTCTTCGGCAAATATTAATCCATCCATCCATCTGATCAGCATGGTGTCCACTGTAATAATGGATGCAGTTTCAAGCAAATTTTAATAATCTTCTATTACATCAGCAGCAGCAGAATCAGCTTCTTCTTCCACCTCACCATTGGGATGGGGCCAAAAGCCCACCCCCATAGGCTCTCGAGTAAAACTGAAAGGCGTTCAAAAGGCAGACGTAAAAGTTTTTTCATGAAGTGGTAATTGTATCAAGAGCAATATCGGCAGGATCTCCAATCCATGGCCTCCCCTCTCTCCACTGAAATTTAATTCTTAACTTGCCATTAGCATCTACACCAACTACCTGGCCTTTGCTTGCATGGGTCTCCATTCCCCATCCCCACCGTGGGGTCACCAGCCCTTCTCTGATCCTCACATTGTCCCCCACTTTAAACGGCCTTACCCTCTCCATTTCCCATGCTTTGCAAAGCCACAGCCTCTCCATAAAACAGAATGCAACCCATAGCTCCCCGTCTTCTATCCTGTGCACCACTCCAATGCTTGAATAACTCACGTCTCCCCACTGATGAGTCGGGGTTGAAACCGATGCCCTCACCTTAACCCAATCCCCAATGCAAATTTCCTCTTCCTCCACCACCTCCACCTCCGATGGATCTAGCATCCATGCTTTTGACCCAGCAGGTGTATATATTCTCAGCTTTCCATCCGCATCAATTGCAGATATAATCCCAACACTTGCATGGTTGTGCCCGGACCACCCAAACCTTGGCTGCTTTACAAAAATTTTCACCCTAACCCTCTGCCCAACCATGAGCTTATCAGCTCTTTCAAGATGGGAGGCAGGCCCCACCCATCCTTCTTGTTCCCCGCAAAATCCCACACAGACACTTCCATCCCATTCGTCCCCTTCGTACACATTTCCCTGCACAATTCCAATACTACCTGGTCCAATTGATTTCCAACCACTTGCATTGTTTCTCATTCTAACCCAATCTCCCACTTCAAACATCTGCTCTATCTCTAGATCAGCAGGATCTCCTCTCCACAACCCCGGCAAACCAAAGAATGCGACTCTCACTTCTCCATCGGCATTGACACTGGTTATAACACCTCGTGAATTAGACTGGGCTCCTCTCCATCCCCACCTTGGCTCCATCAGTCCAACTCGGAAGCAAACGTGCTGCCCAATTTTGAAGCCTGGAACCTTTTCAACATCAGTGTAATGAGTGATCCACCTTCCTTTACGGAAGCAGCACGCTAATTCTAAATAACCAGTATCCTGTACACTATGTACAACTGCTATACTTTCTTTCCCAATACTGTTCCAGTCATAACTTGGTCTGGTCCCCAGGCTTGGTTTTGATCGTACCCAGTCCCCTACTTCAAATCCTGAAAGCCGTTCTGCATCTCCTGGGGAAACTTTCCATAAACTAACTTTGCCAGCAACTTTAACCTAGACAGAAATAACCAGAAGGCGCTTTAGTCAACAGTTCAAAGTTTTTTTTATCATTATTTTTAAATGCTTAGAATTTTCTATTCTTACTTATTTAACAATAATATTTTCTATCTCAAACACACTACTTTTCAGAAATCCAGTAAACAGCTGCAATTCACCTCAAACACTGTTCTAAAAACTTATAGTAGATAGTTAGAGAACAAAGAAAGGAAAAAAGAAGCTAGAAACTAGGGATAATTTCATAAATACAAAAGGAAAAGATAAGACCGTTTAACATATCATAACGCATAAATATGTGATTACTATTTTGAGTTGGCCTATGATATTTTGATGTTTACACTTTATTTTTGGGTAAATTACAACCACACTCCCTGAGGTTTGTCTTTAATACAAATTCCCTCTTGAGGTTTTGAAAATTACATTAACCCCCTGTCAGAGTTTGTTGATTAACACCCCCAAAGAGAAAAATTAAAATGACTTTATTGCCCTTGTCTCTCATCTCCTTGAGGTGGATCATGGCATAGGTATGGAGCTTCTTGTCCATCCCACCCTCGTCTCAAAGGCATTTCATCAAAGATTAATTGAAGCCCACAGCTACAGCCACCCACCACATATCAACCATCACCCACCCCAACACCGACCCCCACCGCCACAACCACCATCACCCACCCTACCTCCACTATCACAGCCATCATCCCCATCATTAGTCACCATAGCCATCAAACCTCCACTAAGAAACCAACTCCTAACCTCCATCGTAGCACCCCAAACCCCAAATCAAACCTACAAATCCCTAAATCAAACCCCACACACATAACCCTAACCTACGTATCTCCCAACCAAAAAATTCAGTATCCAAACCAGACTATGCCCACCACCACAACCACCGTCATCCTCCACTATTGGAAAATCAAGCCAAATAAAGAAAAACATAAAGCTCATGGAACACTGATTTGTAGATTGCATCCTGGGAAAATCCCTATGACAAAAAAAATCAATGAAAGAGAGGGGGACGGAGGGAGAGATGTAGTGCACCAAGCACCAACACGATCAACCAAGCAAGCACTACCACGATCCACCAACCACATCCATGATCCACCAGCTACCTCCCCACCCTCCACTGCCAGCAATACTCCCTAGACTCCCCTACCACCTCTATCCCACCCCCATACTAGCCCCAGCCTCCACCTTTTCTCCTTCCCTCTCTTTCTCGCTCATCTCCCTCTTTCTTCATTCAGATCTAGATATATTTAAGGGTAACAAATCAGGTATGGGTTGGGTTATTTGGGTAGGGATTGGATTGGATTGGATTTGGGTTCTGTTATTGGTTGACAAATTTTAATGTTGATGTAAGAAAATCTGTTGGTCAACTTAATGGGGAATTAACAGGGGGGAAATTATAAAGTGATTTGGATACTCAGAGAATGCAGTGTAATTCTCAAACCTGGAGGAAATATGTATTGAAGGCAAACCTCAAGGGGTGTCGGTGTAACTTGCCTCCTTTTTTATTTTGTTTTTTTTTTTAACTTTTGATATATAAGCGTACACATAAATACATAAAGCTTTGTTCCTCCACCAATATTTTATGAAATTGTCACATATTTTACATTCTTATCCATGCTTCATTGACCAGATCAGGATTAGTCGCACTAATTAATCACAATGCAACACTTAACCATACAAAAGGCACCAACATTAATTTAGAGCAAAGCAAAACAAATCAAACTGCAAGAGGGAAAAGAGGGTACTTCTTTTCAGTGACATGTTTCCAGCACTGAGTGTCACCATTTGTAAAGGTGATAGTGCAAGGACAAAAAAACCACTCCAAACAAAAGATGTAAGTAAGAAATAAGCATGCTTACATTTAACGCCCCATCCATGTCAATTCTCATGATTTTTCCAACAGTAGCTGGAGTTTCATTTGCCCATCCAAGTCGTGGCTGAGCAATAGATGGCGTCACATGGATCTCTTGTCCAACTTCAAAAGCAGGCACCTTCTCCACGTCCGTGACAGAACAACAGAATGGCTTGCTCCTGAAGCAAAAGGCAACACCCATATCACCATCCTCCTCCAGACTGTGGATTATCCCAATACTGTTCCTTGTGATATCCTCCCATCCATATTTTGGGGAGGACACTGAAGCTTTTACTCTGACCCAATCCCCAACCTGCTTAAGTTAGATTGAATTTAAGAGTGAAAAGATGAAGGCATGCCACAATATATATAAATCAAATTGGCCAGCATACATATATGAAATCATTCCATATAATGAATCAGACAGAAAAAAAAAAAAAAAAACCTTGAAATCCTCCACCCTTTCCATGTCAGAGGGATCGGCTTGCCATGGTATTGGCCGATTTGGGATTTCAATTATTAGGAGACCATCACTCTCTATTTCACTTATTCTCCCAACACTATGATGAGTTTCACCACCCCAAGCATATCTTGGTTCTGCAACAGAGCGCTTCACACAAACCCTGTCACCAATCTGTAAAAAAGATATGTACAAAATAAATAAATAAATAAAACAAAGAAAAGAACACACAAATGGACAAAGCCAGGACATTTTTCTTACCTTGAATGGGACAACAGGCTCAACCTCTTCAGGTTCACAATGCCATGGATTCGGAAGATAGCTCAAATCCAACAACAAACTATTATCCGGTCTAATACAGTAAACGATACCAATGCTTCCTGGAGTTACAGAACCTAATCCATGCTTTGCGGCAGTGAGAGTCGGGCGAATGCGCACCCAGTCTCCAACCTTGAATTCTTCAACCCTTTCCATTTCTGCAGGATCAGCTTTCCATCCTCTGGATGCTCCAGGAAAACCAACACGCAGAATCCCGTCATCGTCAACACATAGAACAGTTCCAATGCTATCACGTGATTGACCACGCCAACCAAACCTGAAAATAAGACTATCAGTAATCATACTTCAATACATGTATTGAAATTACAGATCTATTGAAATTAAACGCTGCTTCAGCAAGGGTCATATACCAATTCAATTTAATATTCTGTAATTTATAGAATCAAAGAGTCAATGCAGGCACGGACCACATAAATTAGCAGCACAGACCCGAAATTTAGCATGATTGTCTCTCAGATGAGAACTAACAGAAGAGGATGTACCAGATACTTCCTACCTGGTGTTCATTTATTTATTTATTTTTCATAGGAGAGGGATACAACAATGTGTTGTCCCTGAAAATGATGGCCATTTTAAGAATTTCTCAAGCTCTATCATGGGCCTAAAAGCTTACAAACAGTTGGTAAATTGCCCTTGAGATGGTGATTTTGTCAAACATGTCTCAATAATTTAATATAAGAAGGCATGTGTGTCATACTGAAGCACTTGAAACAGCACGACAAGCCAGCAACAGAAAAGGATCCACTTAAGGAAGAAATTTAACTATATTATAAGTTACATTCCATAAGTTTAGCGAAGTAGTTTGCTGCTGATAGCAAAAGAATATCCCAAGAATGAAGAATCAGACCACCTTTTCCTTTACCTTCCCAATTGAGTATGTCTTTCAGAAAATTGCAGATAGCAAGTTATCAATTAATCCAAAGTGTTACTTGGTTCCACCTACACTGTCATGGTTGGTTGGCTTGTCTACTGGGCTTCATCACATGGTAGATCAATTGTACAATTAAAAGCCTCAGACAGATTCATCCAGATAGAATTAACTTTGTGATCAATCCAAATCAATCTTTTAAATCCTCTAAGTTGAACAGGTAAATCAAATCAGTAAGGAATTCCAAAGAGCAAGGTGGATGAACAGAAATAACAAAAAATAGTGGCTGCATAGTAAAAAGCAGTGTGGTGCAAATTTAAGGTTCTGAAAGGACAGGCTAATTACATCGGACAAGGTAGAGAAAACACTAGATGACGTACTTAAAAGCATATTAAAATTTGATTGGGTCGAAGACATACGATGGCAGAACAAATTTAGTGCAAATACAAATCCCTGGTTACACAAATTTGTAATTTAAATAATACAATTTTTGGTATCTCTCCACTGTTTTCAATGACCATTAGTTCTCATATTGCACCATATATACAAAGCAAAACACTGGAAATTATTTTTAACTTACTGCAGGTTCTCCACCCATTACACCTCATATGACAACTCTTTTTTTAGTAACCCCTCATATTATTCCTACTGGACCAAAGAAAAAGCAGAAGGGTAAAGAAAAATTAAAACCAATTTAAATAAATTTTATTTCTCTTGAATTTATCTATCCAATTGTTATATATGGGAGAACATAAATATTTTTTGTCACATGGCAAAAAACAAAAAAAATAATAAAATAATGTATATTTTCTGACAAACTACCATCAATAAAAGCAGTTCTCGAATACATATATATATATATATATATTGAATGAAAATCAATGTATTAACAAAAATCACAAGAAGAATGGCAGCAGCATCCATGAATCATTCAGTTTCACTAACAATATTCGCAATAGGAATTGTAGTTAGCAGTAGTAACAGTAGTAATAGCCAGTCAAAAAAGTAATAATTGTAGTAAAAAACATGGTCATTAGAATCTTACGATTAGCGATTTGATTCATACGATTTGACACGAGTTTCAACCAAAATGATTCGAGTTTCAACCAAAATGATTCGATTCGTGTTGTTGAATCTTAAATTGAGTTAATTGTATATTTCAATTGCAATATATATATATATTGAATGAAAATCAATGTATTAACAAAAATCACAAGAAGAATGGCAGCAGCATCCATGAATCATTCAGTTTCACTAACAATATTCGCAATAGGAATTGTAGTTAGCAGTAGTAACAGTAGTAATAGCCAGTCAAAAAAGTAATAATTGTAGTAAAAAACATGGTCATTAGAATCTTATGATTACCGATTTGATTCATACGATTCGACACGAGTTTCAACCAAAATGATTCGATTCGTGTTGTTGAATCTTAAATTGAGTTAATTGTATATTTCAATTGCAATTCACTGTGATTTAATTTAATACAATTCACTGCAATTCAGTTCTATTTGCATAATGCATGAAGTCACGTCATTTTCACAAAATTAAAAAAGAGATCAATTAATTATAATTCAAAGATGAAATAACAAAAAAAGTTAGTAGTTTAGTTGCTAACAAACATAGAACAGCATTGGTCCTGCCTAAGGTGTGACAAGAGTGTACCATGGAACAACAGAGAACCAATCATAACAACAACATAAAATCAAACCTTGGCTCTTTCACATCTGATTTCAGTTGCACATGCTGCCCCCTGTCTAATGGGATCACCTTTATAACTTCATTTGCCAGTACACGAGCTTCGCCGGTACAAAATGATACAATGAGATTGTCCTTGTCTGGAACACTTTGCACAAAACCAACACTCCTATGTTTTGCACCTTGCCACCCATAAGTGGGACTCGTGATACTTCTTTTAAATTTCACCCAATCCCCAACTTGATAACTAAATACCATTTAAAAAATAGAGAAATTAGACTAAATCCTAGTCATAATTAAGTAAGCATTCTACGGATATGATGAAAGATGTGTATAACTTTTTCCTCACATTGTAGGATACAAATGAACTCCCTTATTCATGAGTGCCTCCATCAGATCTTCGGAAATCCATTCACGGGGCAGGGCCTCCAAAAAGTCACGTAATGTCTTGCCACTGTTGCCCATCATAAATACATCAGTATAACAAAATCCAACAGCACAACATCATTGGAACTAACACATCCATAGGAGGAGAATATCTTATAAGTTCTCTCTATAATTAAGCCCAGGCAGACGAATATGCAATTGTACTAGTTAGTTCTTGCCTGTGATTCCTCACTTCAACTGCAGCATCTGGATACCTAAGCATAACAATGATCCATTCAAGATTCTCACGAATCATTTTTGCTGCTTCAGCTGCTATATGGAAAGCATTGTCACCTTCATCATCCTGATAATAGTGACCAAACAAGCAAATAAGTGGAAAGCAAAAGAAAGGATCTACTTAATACAACTTAAAGAAAAGAAAGCTAAGATACATCCTGAAATCATGAATAACAACCATTCAACAAACCAACATGTAAGCTTTTGCTGATCAGCACATGGAAATATCCCTTCGAGCTATAAGGAATTGTACAGGATTTTTTTATCTTCTATTTTTACAATATGAACAAAAAATCATTCCAATAGAAGTATGGTTAGGGGTTGTTTGGGGTGTCCTAAATAAGTGCACTTTTTGTCTTTTTGGACTAAAAAATTGAGGTTGAAAATATAGATGTTTGGGTTAAATATTTAGGTTAATTTTTTGACTTTTTATGAAAAAATGTGTAATAAAAAATTGTAAAAATTGATTGGTAGGGAAAAATTCGAATTGGGAGTTGTGCAGCCGTAATTGTTGACTTTTGGTGAATAGTATTAACTTTTTAACTTTTTAAGTAACTTTTTGTCTTTTTATCTTTTTTGAAAGATCCCAAACTTGCCCTAAGTTGCAAATATAATTACTTGACTAGGAAACCAATTAGAAAATACATAACAAAATACAGTACAGTGCTCAATAACTGATTCAACCCAAGAACTTAACAACACAGCAAAATTGAAAAGTTCAGTCACCCTACAGCTCTTCACAGGACTCAATAACTGATTCAACCCAAGAACTTACTAGTTTTACTTAGTTTAAGTATTTTAATGATATTTTCATGCATTGTGTTTGTAGAAATTTAATGTATAAAGAAAAATAGAGAATTGTATAGATATTGATTGTATTATTGATTGATTGAATGTTATATATTACAAATGGTGAGGGGCTCCTTATATAGGAGATGTAGTGGAGTAGGTGGTAGTAGGTGGTAGTGGTAGGTGTGTAGTAGGTGGTAGTAGGTGGTGGTAGGTGTAGTAGGTGGAGTAGGTGATGGTAGGTTTTAACAGCCCCCCGCAAACTCAAGGGGGATAGGAACTAACCAACTTGAGTTTGGAGAGAGTAACAAAACAAGAAAATAATCTGAAAAATAAAAAATGGATAGGAGACACTATGGTCGTGTCAGACCGTTGTAGAAGACTGTATTGTTATGGCAGACCGATGTAGAAGGCACTGGCTCGTGGTGGACCGATGTAGAAGACAGTTTATGGGGTCATGTCGGACCATTGTAGCAGACAATGTTGTGACAGTTATTGTGACAGTTTACGGAGTCTTGCTGGACCCTTGTAGAAACTAACCGGAATCAATGTCGGGACAGTTTACTGAGTCTTGTCGGACCCATGAAGGAGCTAACCGGAATCAATGTCGGGACAGTTTACAGAGTCTTGTCGGACCCCTAAAAAGTCGCACCCTCAAAAGGTGTGCCCAATCTATCAAAAAGCATGCCATCAAAAGGCGTGCCCAATCCATAAAAATGCGTGCCATCAAAAGACGTGACATCAAAAGGCGCGCCCAAGTTGTCGGCGAGCACCGAGAGGCGCATGATGCGCGTGTCTGCCTCTTCATCATGGTCTTTATAAACCGAAGCGTTTCAACCAAAATGATTCGATTCGTGTTGTTGAATCTTAAATTGAGTTAATTGTATATTTCAATTGCAATTCACTGTGATTTAATTTAATACAATTCACTGCAATTCAGTTCTATTTGCATAATGCATGAAGTCACGTCATTTTCACAAAATTAAAAAAGAGATCAATTAATTATAATTCAAAGATGAAATAACAAAAAAAGTTAGTAGTTTAGTTGCTAACAAACATAGAACAGCATTGGTCCTGCCTAAGGTGTGACAAGAGTGTACCATGGAACAACAGAGAACCAATCATATAAGCAGCTTAAAACTAAAAATTGTCTTAACAACAACATAAAATCAAACCTTGGCTCTTTCACATCTGATTTCAGTTGCACATGCTGCCCCCTGTCTAATGGGATCACCTTTATAACTTCATTTGCCAGTACACGAGCTTCGCCGGTACAAAATGATACAATGAGATTGTCCTTGTCTGGAACACTTTGCACAAAACCAACACTCCTATGTTTTGCACCTTGCCACCCATAAGTGGGACTCGTGATACTTCTTTTAAATTTCACCCAATCCCCAACTTGATAACTAAATACCATTTAAAAAATAGAGAAATTAGACTAAATCCTAGTCATAATTAAGTAAGCATTCTACGGATATGATGAAAGATGTGTATAACTTTTTCCTCACATTGTAGGATACAAATGAACTCCCTTATTCATGAGTGCCTCCATCAGATCTTCGGAAATCCATTCACGGGGCAGGGCCTCCAAAAAGTCACGTAATGTCTTGCCACTGTTGCCCATCATAAATACATCAGTATAACAAAATCCAACAGCACAACATCATTGGAACTAACACATCCATAGGAGGAGAATATCTTATAAGTTCTCTCTATAATTAAGCCCAGGCAGACGAATATGCAATTGTACTAGTTAGTTCTTGCCTGTGATTCCTCACTTCAACTGCAGCATCTGGATACCTAAGCATAACAATGATCCATTCAAGATTCTCACGAATCATTTTTGCTGCTTCAGCTGCTATATGGAAAGCATTGTCACCTTCATCATCCTGATAATAGTGACCAAACAAGCAAATAAGTGGAAAGCAAAAGAAAGGATCTACTTAATACAACTTAAAGAAAAGAAAGCTAAGATACATCCTGAAATCATGAATAACAACCATTCAACAAACCAAAATGTAAGCTTTTGCTGATCAGCACATGGAAATATCCCTTTGAGCTATAAGGAATTGTACAGGATTTTTTTATCTTCTATTTTTACAATATGAACAAAAAACCATTCCAATAGAAGTATGGTTAATCTAAGTTGCAGATATAATTACTTGACTAGGAAACCAATTAGAAAATACATAACAAAATATAGTACAGTGCTCAATAACTGATTCAACCCAAGAACTTAACAACACAGCAAAATTGAAAAGTTCAGTCACCCTACAGCTCTTCACAGGACTCAATAACTGATTCAACCCAAGAACTTACTAGTTTTACTTAGTTTAAGTATTTTAATGATATTTTCATGCATTGTGTTTATTAAATAAGTTCCATGAACTATTTAATGACTTTTGGGTCATTCAAAGCAAAATAATTTTGGATCCTTAGGGTATAAAATAATAATTTTGTACTTAGATATTATTCCATATTATAGCTTTATGGGCATTTTGGTAAAATGAATAGAAAGAGGAGATTTTGTGAGACTTGGTTAAGTGTTGGAATTTATCTAAGTAACAAGTTGGAACTGGACTAAGTTTTGGACTTGGTTAAGTGATTGATTTTCCTTAGTTGATTTTTGGGTTTATCCTAATTGGTTTATTGATTTTATGGGCTTGGCCCGGGTTATAGACTTATAGCCAGTATGATTGGTTGAGAGAGATAGTGGTACTAACTGTCTGCGGGTTAAACCCTCCGAACACTATGCAGTTGAGAGTTGTAACCTCATGTGAGAGGGTGGTGTGGATTTTCTGACACGTGGCTCATAGGGAATGGGGGCGTGATCAGGGTATGACCTACGCATTATTATTACGGCTTGGACACGGTTATGTGTTGGCAAGGCCAGATATGGTGCTCTGTTGGCAATTATCGTATCAATTGTGATTTTTGAACTTATTCTTTTGTTATTCTAGTTTGGACACTGTATGTGTTGGTGAGGCCGGGATTGTTGCCTTTTATGGCAAGTTATTGATGTCTTGTTGGCAGTCATTAACTTTTTTTTGTTTAAATTCTTGTTATTTAATTTAACCAGTGTGTGTCAATTAAATAAAATGACTTAATTGAGTTAAGTAATTAAATTTGGTGACATGGCGTTACATTGCAATTATATTATATTATATGTATTACCGTACCTACATGTTATTAAAAATAATGGCTTGAGATTATATTGGTGAGCGTGTGGTTTGCTCACCCCCTACCCTAAAGGTACTGACGTGTGCCCATTGGCATGAGCACCTAACGGGCTATTACTTGTTTACTTCCGAGCATGTTAGTGTAGAACTTCAGGTGATTGGGCTTGAGCACCTTATTTATTTTGGATGTACTTCATTGTAATTCATTCCATAGTCTGTAATTTGATGTTGCATTTCATAATCAGTATTATGAAGTATATACTTTCATTTACATTGGGATGCGTACCGCGTGAGGTTGATTCATTACATTGAAAGAACTTCCCGTTTTAGATTGAAAATGTGATTTCTCTAAAAAAATTATAAGATTAGGGCACATTTACCATTGTAGTCTAAATTCATTAGAAATGCATCTATTTTGTCATTTTTAAGTAAGATAATGATGATAAAGGGAAATTGAGTATACTTTCAAGTTAAATAAAACATTCACCTATGGACACGTTTTATGAGACAAATAAGAATTTTGACAAAATTTAAGAAAAATTGCTACATGAGATGATTAGATAATGGATAAGGTTAAAATGGAAATTTTCTATTCAAAACATCACGCTAAGGTTAATTAGTTTCCACCTAATTAACTTCTTAAAATTCGGGACACGACATTAAGCTTCTAGGCTTTTAGTTTGCTTACAAATATTTGAAATGGATATATCCTTGTCTTAAAATAGCTTCAATATATCACTATTCATTGCGTGTTAGATCACCGCTCAAGCAAATCCAATATCTTTAGGTAATGATGGTGCTTCAAGGTCTATGATTCAAGCTTGAATATGTCAAACCAAGCACAGGAAACAACACAGGAGAGGGGGGAGGGCTTTCTATGAAGGGCTTGGGACCTATGAACAAAACAACATAGGAGTGCTAGTGGACGCAGGGAGGGAGCAGGTGAAGAAAACACTGATGCCAAACCAAGCACAGGAAATTCACCTACCAAAGAACGTACGGAATGACTTCTGATCAATCTAACTGCCTAGGGGGCCGTAGTAGGAGATTAACCTATCTTTGCTTCTGAGCATTGGCTAAGCCAGTATAACAATAGGCGTGTTCACGCTTTGCATACGCTTTCAGCAATACAAGAGCTTTATTGGCATTGTTTGTCTCCACCATTGCAATCGTAGCAGATGTTCAAGCCTTACCCTCTTCCTTCTTCCCTTTCTTTCTCAAAATCTGGACTTCCAGATCATGTGCTTTTGAACATAGTTCTTCAAAAGTATTGATTGTTTGAGAAGCCAAGATGTGAGACAACTCATATCTGAAGCAATTAGCGACCTACCTTGGAATAGAATGGGATGGAATAGAAAGAACGCGAAGAAGCAGAACTACAGGGTCGGGTTTTTTTTTGGGGGGGGGGGGGGGGGGAGATAACCTTGTGAAGTAAATGAAAGCAGGCTGCCCTATGGATTGCCGCTCTACCACTAGACTTTGTGTCTTCCTTTGAAAAGGACGAATTCAAAATGAAAGAAGAAAGGGTGAAAGAGGAAGAAGGTCCTCGCAAATGAGGTGGATAGGCTAGGATCGGAGGAGAAAAAGGGCTACTAGTGGGATCGGCGGATAGCATCCTCTTGTTGATCAGACACTATTTCATGGAGCAGTAATAAACAAATGTCCGTCGCCTTTAAGAGATAGGGGCATCCATAGAGGCTGAGTACATTGCTTATTGCAGTGCCAAGCAAGAAGCAGTGTGGTTGAAGCACTTCATTAAAGAGCTTAAATTGATCAGAAAAAGCCTGAACATTGTGAATCTATTGTTCATATTTGGTCTAATAGTTTGGGTTGTAATTCCTTTTCATGTAAAATTGTATTCCTTGTGTAAAAGAACCTGGGTTGGCATTGTAATAAGAAATGTTGCGATTTCATTTTATTAATTATGCACTTCCTCTAAATGGATTATTGTGTGATAAACAGGTTCAATGATTGTATGCTTTTGCTATAAATTATATTATACACCAAAATTTACAAGACTACAACAGGTTTGTTCAATTGGGCCTTCAATAGTCTATGACTATTGTTAAAATACTTATTTTTGTTCTTTTGTTCTCTTGTTAATATTTACATAAGTTTGGGGTACAATGGTCATATTGCTATGTTAGGATTTGTATATATATTCGGCTGATATAAAGTTGAGAAACAATGATCATTCAACATATATAAAATTACTCTTTCTTCTTCTTCTTCTTCTTCCTCCTAAATCTCAATCCTAAATTCCTTCATTTTACATTCTAACTTGGTATCAGAGCAATCTATTCTTCTTCATAAAGGTTTCTACGGACTCTGGAGATCAATCTGAGGTGACCGAGATGTGTTGATGTCATCAGTCGTCCGATGACGTCAACATGATGTAAGCACTGTACGGACGGGTCCTTCACCCCTAGACTCGAAATTGCCTCCTGAGATTTATGTTTGTGGATTTTTTTGATCATCCCTCCCTACTGTGAGTTTTCAATTTTTGAAAGTATTTCATGTTTTTGGCGACTGTTTTTCAAATCTGCTCTTGGAACTGTTTTTTGCTGAATCTACTTGTTGGAATCCTATCTCTAGGAGCCGAAACTCCCTCCTTCAGTGTTATTTGCTATTATTTTATTGATTTACTACTATTAGGTTGATGATTGATTCGATTTTGGACTCTTTCTACTACTATACATAGTCGACAGTGTTATTTTCCAGCCTCTACGCATTGAAACTTACTGTATATGGGCTGAAAATTATCTAGCAAGGTCTGGTTGATCCTAAAGCGTTGATTTGTGTTGGTGGGTTGCCGTTTTTGGTTGAATTTGCGTCCAAATCTGTTTGGTAGACATAGGTTCTCCACTCATGCCTATGTAATCTTGGATTTTTGTTGATTGAACTATTTCCAATGGCTATACTCATGGTTGCAAGTGTTGATTGGTGTAGATACTTTCTATTTGCAAGAATTCTACTGCTTTCATACTCTTGTGTTGAGTATTTTGTGTGATTGATTGCCATGGCTGAAATTGAGACTAAGACCTCGTTTGAGAACAGGCTTTCTTAGTAACTTTTTGATTTTTTGGCTAATATATGATATAAAAAAAAAAACTAATATGTTTTGGATGACTTTTTAGTTTTTTACGAAAAGATGTACAAAAAATAGAGAGAAAAGAAAATCTTTGACTTTTTGGTATTTGTTGTAGACTTTTTTTTTTTTTCAGTAACTTTTTGACTTTTTGGCTAAAAAAGTCACTTGCCAAACGAGACCTAAGGCAATGGCTATGAGTAAAGATGATGCCAAATCTATTATTACCAAGAAGTTGAATGGTGCCAATTATATAGCTTGGGCTCATGTTGTAAAAATTTTCTTACGTGGTAAGAAGAAATCCCGCTTCATTAGCGAACTCCCTCCTCCCACTGACGACAAAACTTATAATGATTGGTGTAGTGAGGATTCCTGTGTTATGGGTTGGATTTGGCATAGCTTGGAACCACAGGTTGCTACTACCGTGAAATTTTGTGATACCTCTAAACAAATTTGGAACTCCCTTGCTGACTCCTTTTCGAATCAAAGTAATGTCTCTCGGGTCTATGAGCTATATGAGCAGATTTTTGCTATGCGCCAACCTCGCCGGTCCCTTCCTAATTATTATAATAGTCTCAAGACCTTGTGGAATCAATTATTGCAGCATCAACCCTTCACTATTGATGTGAACAAACAAAAGCAACATTGGGAGGAGTTCACAATGGCTTCTTTACTCTCTGGCTTAGATCCTGAATTGCAGGAGTTCAAGGATCAAATTCTTTCCAATGAGACTTTACCTTCTGCTGCTAATGCCTATTCTCAACTGTTACGTTCTTCTTTGGGACAGGCACAATCCACCTCTGAGTCCTCTACCTTGTCATCTTTTGCATTAGTCTCGAGTAGTGTTGATCGTGGGTCTACTCGAGGGGGTTTTCTTGGCACATCTGGTCAACGGGGCTCTTACTCTGGTTCACGGGCTTCTCATGGGGCTGGTTCCCGTGGTGGTGGCTCCTGTGGTGGTTTTAGGGGTGGAGGTAGTAGTGGACCTAGTTCTCGTACACGTGGTGATCGCAAGTGTACTCATTGTGGTTCCCAAGGTCATACTGAACCATGGTGTTGGCAGAAGTATAGCAAACCTGACCATGTCCATCAGGTTATTGGTGTTCCATCCTCACAATCATCCTTGCTCTCCGCTGATTCTGTTGCTTCTCCGGTTGATTCACATGAGACACTCACTACTCAGATTAATGAGCTTACCGCTCTTGTCCACTCTCTCCGGCCTAGTCTACCTTCATCCTCTACTGCTATGATGGCTAGTTCAGGTAATATTGCATGTGTGGCTAAGTCCCCTCAGCCTTGGCTCCTAGACTTTGGTGCTAGTTCCCATGTATCTGGTAATTCCTCTCTTTTTGATACTCTTAGACTTGTTGATCATACCATTATACTTACTGATGGATCTTCTCAACCTGTCTGTGGTCAAGGTCTTCTTCATTCCACTCCATCCCTTTCCTTACCCTCTGGTCTTTATGTTCCTAAATTTTCATTTAATTTGCTTTTTGTTAGCCAATTGACTCAAGCTCTCCATTGTTCGATAACATTTTCTCCTCCTTCATGTGTTTTGCAGGACCTCCAGACCAAGAGGATGATTGGTTCGAGGCATGAGAAGGATGGCTTATACGTTTTGGACACTGAGACCTCTCCTCATCCTCCATCTGCTGTGTTGAGTGCTACTGTATCTCCTCTTCAGTGGCATTTTCGCTTAGGTCATCCCTCCTTGGCCAAGCTCAAGCTAGTTGTTCCGGATTTGAGTCATGTTTCTCAGATTAAGTGTGAAGCCTGTCAATTTGGGAAGCATCACCTTAGTTCTTTTCCTAGTCGTAGTGTTAGTTATGTGTCTAAGTTGTTTGCTCTTGTCCATACAGATATTTGGGGTCCTTCTAGAACTCCCACTGGTAATGATTTCTTTTGTTATTTTTGTGAATGATTACTCTTGGATGACTTGGTTGTTTTTAATGAAACAAAGATCTTATTTTCCCTTCCATCATCTCCAAGATTTATAATGAAATCTTTACTCAATTTGGCAAACGTATTAAGATATTTCAGTCTGATAATGCTTTAGAATATGTGCAATCTATTGTAACTACCTTTTGTGATACTTATGGTATTATCCATCAAACTAGTAGTTCTCATACATCCCCTCAAAATGGTGTTGCAGAGCGAAAATACTGCCATTTGTTAGATGCTCGCACACTAATGTTTAATATGCCTGTCCCCAAACAGTTTTGGGGCGATGCAATTCTCACTGCTTGTTTGCTTATCAATCGCATGCCCTCTAGTGTTGTCCACCAATCTCCCTATTCTCTGTTATATCCCACAATATCTCATTTTCCCTTGCCTTATGGATTTCACCATTCCACCTTTGATCACTCTGTTTTTGTTCACCACTCATCTACTAAGAGTATTGTTCTTATTGTCTATGTTGATAACATCATCATTTCAGGGAGTGACTCCAATGGTATTGCTGATTTGAAGCAGTATTTGGGACAATAATTTCACACCAAAGACTTGGGCCATCTTCAGTATTTTCTCAGGATTGAAGTTGCCTCTTCTTAGGGCTTGTTTATTTCTCAACGAAAGTATGTTCTTGATCTTCTTACTAAGACTGGCCTTTTAGGCACTCACCCCAGTGATACTCCCATGGATTCTAGTGTCAAGCTTGATGGTGACACTGGAGACTTATTTCCCGATATTGATCGTTATCGTCGGTTGGTTGGGAAGTTAATATATCTCACTGCCACTCGTCCCAATATTACCTATGTCGTGGGTGTGGTGAGTCAGTTTATGCATGCTCTTCGCCAACTCCATTTTATGGTTGTGTGTCGTATCTTGCAATACTTGAAGAGTGCTCCAGGTCGGGGTTTGTTCTATCGCCTATCTTCCTCTATGTTTGTCACTGGCTTTAGTGATGTTGATTGGACTGGTAATAAGACTGACCAACGTTCCACCTAGGGCTATTGTACTTTTGTTGGTGGTAATCTTGTTACTTGGCGTAACAAGAAACAGACTGTTATTGCTGGTTCTAGTGCCGAGGCTGAGTATTGTGCTATGCCTCATACTGCTTCTGAGATACTTTGGGTTTAGTCTCTTCTCCAAGATTTTGGCTTTTTTGTTCCCACTCCTGCGAGCATGTCTTGTGAAAATTAGGCTGCTATCTTCATTGCCAATAATCTCGTGTTTTATGAACGCACCAAACATATAGAAGTTGATTGCCATTTTATTCATGATCTCTTACTCCGCAAGCAACTTGTTAGAATGTAAAATGAAGGAATTTAGGGTTAGGATTTAGGAGGAAGAAGAAGAAAGAGTAATTTTATATATGTTGAATAATCATTGTTTCTCAACTTTACATTAGCCAAATATATATACAAACCCTAACATAACAATACGACCATCATACCCTCAACTTACGTAAATATTAACTAGAGAACAAAAGAACAAAAATAAGTGTTCTAACAACTATTGACTTCGAATATAATCAATTGGAGGAAATGAATCCATGTAGCTGTCTCCTAAGTAATTGGAATAAAGGCTTGTTTAGATGAGTTGAGTTGTAAATGAAGTGGAACATGGCGATCCATATTAAGAAAGACATCTTAGTGGCACTCCTATTCTGCAAATACTCTTCCAAGGGGAGCCAAAGCAAATGAAGTGAAGGTGAACATAAATACGTCAAAAGGGAAGCCAAAGTACTTAAATGAGAGTAAGCCTTTACCCTTTAGAAAGATATTGTCTTTTCCAACTTGCCAATGTCCTCTCAAAATACCCTGTGATACTATAATATAGAGAAAAAGAGAAAGATATAGAGACAAGAGAAGAAAAAAATATAGGAGAGATAGGGGCATTTAGAGAAAAAGAGAAAGAGAGAGACAAAGATTAAAAAATAATAGTAATAAAGATGGAGAGAGAGGGTGCATTGGACCGTATCCTTCATTCACAAGAGAAGAGGAATGGGATTTTGTTTTTGATCACCGATAGAAGGAAGGAGATAAAAGAAGAGAGATGGAGAAGAGGAAGAAGAATAAACTGTGTGCTATTCCAAATATTTTCTCAAAGTTTATTCATCTTGTAAAATTAATTTCACTCTACACTACAAAAACTTTTTTATAGGCATCAAAAACTAAACTTGAAAATACAGCGATTATTTTTGCAAGAAATTATCGATATCTCCACTAAGTTTCAACAACTACCTACCATCATTTCATAGGTCCTACATCAATTCAATTGCATCAGTTTAGCATCAAAAAAGGGAAATTATCGGCGAGCATGCACGTTGGGGATAGCCAATTATCTTCCACCACCCCACCCTCCCGGCAGATAAATAGAACTAACCAACTATTTTTAATTATTATTTTTTGCAAGTAAAATTTCATTCAAGAAAGGTAACAAAAAGGGAGGTTGCCCATATACAAAGGGCTCAGAGGATTGAGAAATCACGAAAGGTTACATATACACAATCTTGTGAATCAAGAAGCTTTACAAAATCTAGGTCCATGTTTGGGTTTGATTAACAATCTTCGACTCCAAACTATACAAAAATCACAAAAGGTACTCTTCAACCTATAGCAAGATTCCTTCACCATGTTGAAGATAATTTGATTACATTCTCTCCAAATAATCCACACAAGGCATGCCACAAGGTTTTATTAGAATGAAGTAGCTCAAATGATTTTAATCAAGTTAAAAAAATCGAAAAAGGATCATATTTGTAAATATTGTTAATATTTTATTTCCTGATAACAAGAAAATGTTACTTTGACAGCATAACATATTAACCAGCATGTATGAACGCTACACATCTCGGGGTTATGGGTTCAAGTCTACATGAAAGCTACATGTATAAACGCTACATGTATGACCATTGGTTCAATGGTCAAATATTGGCCTAATAACCTTGAGGATATGGGTTCGAGTTTCGGAGCAATCACTTTGTGCACTATGTCAAATGTTAGGTGTGTATCCAATCTTTCCTCTCCCAAACACATTAATATGTATTATTTGGGCATTCCAAATGTCAACCAACTAAATATGGCACAAAAGCATGAACGAGAAATCATCTTAGATAATAGACAATGAAAATATTAGATAGATAAGAGAAAAAGTAAAAACCTGCAAATTACAGTTTGCCCCGGCAGATAAAAGTAATCCCACACATAATTTTGCACCTCTGGCCAATGCCACATGAAGAGGTATTGTATTATTCACATTCCTGATATTCACATCAACTCCAGCATCGAGAATAATCTATACACCAATTTGCAATACAATAATTATATTAGACAAATCAGAGATAAATAAATAAACAGGAATTTCCTACAGGTGTTTAATGCTAAATTCACACCAAATGCAATTCAAAATGTGGTTTACCCAAGTTAAAAAAAAACAGTTATGAATACATATCAAGTACTAGGGAAATTATTTAGTTACCTGGACCAACTTAACATCATTGGCCATAGCAGCAGTATGCAGCACAGTTCGACCATGCTGGGCATCTTGGGCACTTGGATCTGCTCCAGCAGCAAGCAGAATTTGTACCAGTTCTCGCCCCTCTACAGGAAAATCAATAGGTGAAACAAACAGAAAAATGGGGAAAATAATTAAGAAAATAAAATAATAATAAAAAAAAGAAGAATTTATTTTTCAAAATGCATCACCATGCAATGTAAAAACGCTTGTTCATAAATAACTACAACAACAATGAAATAAACCAAATATTTTAAGATTCAAGTTTTACCAGCTTCATGGTCTTTCTTTATGGCAGCTGCCATACACAATGCAGTGCCAACTGGGCTTGGTATATCAATAACACTGGCTATCTCCTCCAGGGATGCAAGTTCCACCCACCTTTTGACGACAGTCACATTCCACGTTGCTACGCACAAGTGCAGAGGTCTGCAATATCAAAATGCTCAACACCTTACTACAATAAACATCAAACTATAATAAAGCTAATGACTAGTTACCCATAAGTCAGTTTTGTGTCAACAATTACATTCCGACTATTAGTCTCTGAAAGATTTTAAAACTAACTCAAAATGAGGAGCCCACCTTAGCCTACGTATCATCAAATTGGTTAAGTACGTTTTGTGCCACATGGGGTGGAGGAAATGACAAGAATGCCAAAGGAGAATATCCATCTAGATCTACTTGGTCCATTCTCAACTTTATTGTACATACACACCTACACCAGCATGGGTCAAGGTATGCTCTCATTCACTACTAAACTTCTGAATTGCTATCTTTTCTCTTATGGGAACTGAGTTGAGCAGAGACTCCGGCCGGGCACTAACAGTGTTTCCCCTTGTAGATTTCAGGTTCATGGCGGCTCCGGTGTCTCCACTCATCTTCTCCATTGAGTTCTCATCTTCATTACGTGAGGTATATTTTTTGTCCTCATAATTGGCACCGTCAATGATTAACTTCAACAGATAGGATTATGATGCCGGGTAAATCTGCACCTTGAATCTTACCAGCTAGTGACTGTCACCAACTACAGTTGCATTAATCCTTATAAAGAGATTCATTTCCATCATAGTTTATTTTCCTTGTGCTCTAACAACCAGTTATGCTATTGGACCTCCCAAAGCCAGCAATATGACATTCCATTTGTGAAATAAACAACGTCAGACTCATGCCTCCGAAGTGTTTGACAAAATTCTAAAGCAAAGTAATATACATATATATATAAATTGGTCGAACCACAGAGCTCAGATAGACAAGATTGGCATCCATGCCTTCAAGTTCATTACAACGGCGTGGAAAGATTTAATGCTCTACTCCATATCTTGAAATTCTTCATGGGACCAAACCAGTAGGCCACAAGGAAGATCAATACAAGTTCACCCAGAAAATTGATTGACCCATCGAGCAAAAAATAATAATAATAATAAACCTACCCCTCTCCTCTTTCCTTTGCCTCAAAACGATGACATTTTGGGGCACTACAAACAATGCATTACAAAAGATCCAGATTCTTCCCTGTATTGGAGGTGACACAATTATGTGGGATTTGTTCCAAAGTACAGAAATTATATTATGGTCATGGGGCAAATTTATGTGGTGCACCAACTAGTGTTTTATTGGTAGGCCCGAGCACATGGCTTATCTTTGGAATAAGACGTAGCACTCACTAGGCATTTTTTATGAAATACCTAGCACGACTAGGTGCTTTCTGGAATAAATCCCAACACAGTCTGGCATTCTTGGACAAAAGTTTCAGATCAGCTAGGCACAATTACTGGCATTCCAATGTCACATGAAGGCAACTCATCATACTTATCTCAATTAAGAAGACTAGGGGCACAAGGTAGCAGTCCCAGCACACATATATCATGCAGAACAAACAGCAATATGCGGTTATCGGAACAGCAGCATAAAGCCTTCCACTCCTCCTCACTTGACTCAAAGATATTGGAAGCCTGGGGGCATATGAAAGAGGTTAAAACCAACTCAAAAGAAGGAAGGGCCCACCTCAATCTACGTGCCATCATCTAATTGGTTAAGTCTGTTTTGTGCCACATGGTGTGGAGGAAATGACAAGAATGGCCAAAAGAGAATAGCCCCAAGGATATTCTTTGAAATATCCATCTAGACCTACTTGGTCCTCAAGAAAAACTTTATTGTATATACACCTACACCTCCGTGGGATAAGGAATGCTCTCATTCACTAAACATCTGAATTGCCATCTTTTCTTTAATGGGGACTGACTTGAGCGTCAGAGTGCCCTAGGCCGACCACCGGCCAGGGCACTAACAGTGTTTTCCCTCATAGATTCGAGTTCATGGTGGTTCCAATGTCTCCAATCATCTTTTCCATTGATTCTCTTCATCAATCAAGTAAGGTATATTTTTTTGTCCTTACAGTTTGTAATTTTTAATTGTAGCATAGTTGAGTCTTGAGCATGTTTTGTAGTAAATATTTGCCACAGAAGACTTCGTCTTCAAGTTTTGATGAGACGGATAGACTCTACATCATGTGAAGGTAAAACTCATACATTTGCATTAGCATCACTCAAAGAGTTTTATCTAGGTTAGTCTATTTGCATTGTTTTATACTGTGATAAACTGTAGTGAGTTTAGCTTTGGACTATGGGCTAGATTTGCTATTGGGGCTTAAACTTTTAGAACTAATAGAATTGATTATTGGGCCTTATGCTTCTAGATAGTTGTATTTCGTGCTTATTGCAACAGAGCCTTGCTCATTCTAACACAAGGTTGCACCGTTCAGTAGAAAACGAACCTCTTTCATGCAACTGGTTTCCAGATAGTTTTGTACTTGATCTTAATTACTAGTGGGCTGTTTGCATAGGGCTTTGTCTACATTTGTACTGGAGTTGAGTCAAATTCTGATAAGAAATGTGTAACCCGTACTCGAAAGCACCATAATACTTGCTCGCAAAAATTGAGAACCCCAAGTTGACCATGAATGTGCTTCAAGTCAGTAGATGGGAGAGCAGGAACATGGACCTAGATTGAAAATTTGAGCAGATTTGGCATTATGTACCGATGGAGATAATCTACATCAGGTGCTCCCTAACCTTTACTAGCACACAATAAAGAAGCATACACGGCAAAGGATATCAAGTTCTCCTAGGCAATTAAGTGGGAACCTACGTTTGTTAGGGTAGCTGGTTGCATAGGACTCAGAGCAAGAACTAGTTCTTCAGAAGTAGATGCTTTGATTTCAAAGACTAATAGGAATGCCAAATTCTCAATGTGATCATGTCATGAAGTTGTTACCTAGGGATAGTGTTGGTTAATCAAGAAGGTTCACTTGGAAGGTCATTCAGTAATCCAAGGTGTCCTATTAAGATACCTGACTGCAGTTGGGAACAGCTTTTGCACTTGTGTTGACTATTAATCAAGAAAATAAGTATCGCATGTTGAAGAAAGAAAAAGAGATTTCAACAACCTTTTCTATACAGTTTGAGATAGTCGGGTCAATTTGGTATGTTCTCATGTCAAGTTGCTTAGTCATTGGTTACGAGCAGTGCAAGCATTTGAGCCATGTCAGCACAGATGGTAGCACCATTGTGTCTTATATTGAGTGCTGGGAAGAAAAGGAACAGGTGAAACTTTGAGGATGCAAATAAACTGGTCCATAGGCTGAAGAAAATGGTGCCGAAATCACTATAATTTTGGATCTTAAAGAAATCCCCTGCTTCTTTATTTTCTTTTGTAACACTCATCAAAGATTAGAAATTGTTGTGTTTTTTTTTCCTGGTAACACTTATCAAAGATTAGAAATTGTTGGGTTTTTATTTCCTGCATACTCTGCCTTCATATGAATTATTATACAATCTTTGACTTTTCTACTGAATCTACTCTTACTAATCAAAAGCAACAAAGCAATAAATAACTATATGTTGTCCTGAAAAAATTTCAACAAAATTTTATAGCAATGTATAACCCTCCAAATTAAGCTAATGCCAACCCATTTCCATTTAAAAGCCCTATAATCTTGCATTAATAATTTTACACCTAAATCCTACAAACATTCAATAACCATTAACGACCACAAACCTAATTGTAGGCAAATTTGCTTTAAGCTATGTTACATGAACCTGGGCACAAGTATTGGGTGTAGGTGCAAGAGTGGGTGAGGATGCGGGTGCATGCCCAATTGCTAGACTATCTTAAACCTAAATCCCAGGATATTGGGATATGTATCCAAAAGTAAGGTGTATAAGTACGAATACATGTCCTAAACACTTAAATATATTACATATTATATGATATATTTATTTACAATGACGTAAATAATGTAGAAATGTACTTAAAATTAAATACAACTTAGGAAAAGTAAAAAATTTTCATATCCCATTCATGTCAAGGGCAAGAAATATTTCTAATGCGAGCTTCTTCTTCTTCAATCACTATATAAAATTAGAGGATTCAAGTGTCTAAATTGGGTATAGGTGTGTCGAACACATATCCCACACCCTTGCCGTTGTCATATCTAGTGGACAAGAGTGCTGGGCAAGAAATGGAAGAGTCCATATTACACTAGTTTTAAGTTATCTAGTAAACCCACTAGATCAGTAAGTCAGTGGGTAAAGCTTCAGCAAGAAATTGGCCCAAACCTTAGCTCTAGTTATTCTTCGTCTTTTCTTTCTTTTTTTAAATTGATCCAAGACAATTCAACTGTAACATCTACTTCCAAATTTGTCATATAAATTATAGGTCAGTACAACAAAAGCATCAATTATTTACTGCACCCATACCCCTCCTGCTTCCCCAAGGGGAAAGTGAATTGGAAAAAGAAAATAAATAGATTAAAAAGTTGGGAGTTTATTTGGATTATTGTTTGAAAGCAGAAGACAAATATTTGTACTTACGTCAAATTTTTTGAATTCAGGCTAGCCATCGATTTACAACCCCCATTTTCCAATATGACAACAGCACATTCTGTATATTTCTTGACGACTGCTCTGTGTAGTACTGATTCACCTTCATCATCCACTGCATTAGGATCAGCCCCAGCCAATAGTAACTCCTGTTGTCATCAAGAAATATGTCCAAAAGGAAACTTAAAGAAAAGAAAAATCAAGGAAGAATAACAACCACAAACACTTCTATACCCCGTGAAATACTTTCCATGCGTGTAGTAAGTGTATGGCTTTAAGATTTGGCATCATTCTACTATTTCTTAGTTTACAGTTCAATTATTCCAGCTTTTATTTTTGACAGGTCTGCACCCTTCCCTTCTTTGAATAAAAACATAGGCTCCATTTGGTTTAGTTTTGAGAATCAATTTTGAAAGAGAGTTTTTTGAAAAGAGTTGACAAATTTTGAAAACTTGTTTGGTTGTATATTTTGAAAATAATTGTCACAAATTTGGAGTTTTGTAGTTTGGGATGATTTGTAGTTTTTTTTTTTTTTTTTCAATTGAATAGATGGGTGTGAGAAAAATTGATTGATTGATGTGTAGGATGTGAGAGGTGAGAGGAGAGAAAAAAAATGATTGATTGATGTATAGAATGTAAGAAAATGAGAGAGGAGAGAGAACAATTTGAAAAAATTGTAAACCAAACAATTTTTTTAGATTTTTCATTTCAAAAATTGGTTTGAAAATCCAACCAAACACCCCTACATTTCTTTCTGACGAATCTTTCCAGTCTCTTATCCAATATGATAAACATTTGCACAAGCATACAACAGAAGTTTGATAGAAAACATACACGCATGCAATCTGGTTGACCATGGTATGCACAAACATGGGCAACCGATGGCCCAAAGCCTTCCCTCAACCTAGATTGGACATTCGCACGTCTTCTAATGAGAGCACGAACACATTCTGGGGATCCAGCTGCCAAAGCAAACACAAGTGGAGGATCACCATCTTTGTCTAAGACATCCACATTTGCGTCTTTATACTCCAAAATGGCCTCCACAAGTTCTGCACTACCCCGTCTACAAGCCAAGTGGAGAGCAGTCTGGCCATCAGCATTCTGTGCTTCTAATAGTGAACACAACAAACTGCCACTATTTTCTGATGCAGCCTTTGCAAGCAACTCTCTGCATGAACAGATGAAACAAATATAAAATACAGAGCGAAAGACCTTTTTCATCATCGAAGAAAGGTGTACCACAAAATGGCTGACCTAACACCATTCACATTGCCTTCAGATACCAGTCGATGTAGAAGGATGGGATTATCCTGGAGAACCTCCAAATCAGGTGCAGGAGATGGTTCTTTCACATTTGTTCCAGAAAATTTGGCCAAATCACTGTATTCTCACATAAAACATGTATACATATCTTCAACAACCAATCATGCACAAGGCAAAGTAGTAAATAAAGAGCAACCATGAATAGAACCACAGACAGAAATCCAAAGAACATGGAGAAAACATATATCATAAAAATACACTATCCGAACCTTTGTTCTTGCTCTAACAAAATCTAACCAATTGGTTATCAGATGTTTCGGACAAATGTCATAGTATCTAATCTGTAACAGAAGATGATATGAAGAAAAGAAAATAGTGAAGAGATTGAAGTTCTTACTTATCAGGGCTGGCAGGAGGGCTGCGAGGTATCTCTTGCAAGTGTCGAAGGAATATTGCTAGCATAGCATTGAAAGTTGGTCTTTTGGATGCCTTGAACTGTAGGCACTCACCAATCATCTTCCATAATTCCCTAGGTATTCCAACACCCACTACACTAGCATATTGTGGAGGTTGTCTTCGGGCCTTGACGACAGCTCTATAGATTTCCTCTGCACTTAAGCCAGCCCACCTGCACAAAGAACATCAACAGATAAGAATAAGCAACTATACCATTTTTCACTTCCTTTCTTTTTTTTCTGTGGTTTCTTGTTACTCAACGTACGGAATGGAACCGGTGCACATTTCCACTAACGTACACCCAAAGCTCCAAGCGTCAGACTCTGCAGATATGCCAATTGCATCATCCCAAAAAAGATTCAATGACTTCTTCACTGGTTCCCATGCCTCCGGAGCTGTGTAGTTTGGACTGAGCATTGTACAATCCATGCATGAATGAATTCTTGAGGAATCACACTCTGATCGAGCTTTTCGGCAGCCAGGTTTTTTTAAAATTGCTGGCAGTCCGTAATCAGAAACCACAGCATGACCATTTGCATCCAAAAGAAGATTGGATGGCTTCAGGTTCATACAAACAATGCCTGCTGCATGTAGTTCAGCCACCCCTCGAGCAATGTCCACCCCATATCTACAATTAGAAGACAAACAATAAATCAGTCCAAGTTATAGCCTACTAAAAGCTACCTCTGTTATTAGAATCGTATGATTCACCATTCAAATCGTATGATACAATTCGATTCAATGGGTAATCGATACGAACAGGATGTATGAATCACAAAATAGCTGTGAATCGTAGGTGAATCGTTGAACCAATTTGGTGAATCGTGAATCAATTCAATTTACTAAAATCGATGTTTGGCTTTTTTTTTCTTTTTTTTTGGTTTTTTACTGTTGGAAAATGGTCCACACAACCTCTTTAAGGTCTTTAGGATTACTATATGCCATCTTTTGACTTTCCCTTCCAATTTACTCTCAAATATTCACTTTTATTCAGGTGATTGCATTTACAAAAGGAATTTTTGTAAGGCATCAAGTGAGATTTTTTATTAAGTTTCAAGATTTTGGTTTCTTAACCTTGTAAAAAGTTAAAAATATTGTTGTTGAGTTATTGTTGCTTGAAAATTGAATGTTTGTCTTTATTTACTTTCTTTATTAAGTATTGTTGATAAGAAATGGTATCTAAAACGGAAAAGGTAAAGTGGCGAATATCTAAATGTGAAGATATATTTAAGTCTAAATATTACATATTTATTAGATATATTTAACATCTAAATGTGTGGGTATATTTTTCTATGTAATTTAAAAAAGTGACCAAATCTTAACGATTCGCAATTCGGTACAAATCCATTTTGATTCATGATTCGCATCCCGATTTGATAACTATGAAAGCTACTAAGATCAGCTATCATAAACTTAAAATCAGTGGGTATTTTTGTTAAAATTTTGGAACTAAATATTCGATGATTTCATTTCAGCAGTCTCTTGGTGACAATAAATAGTCAGCTATTTCAACCTAGAAATTTTGTGATTCATGCTTATAAAATAGAAAGTGCCAACTGCGCTCAAACGTAACTACAGATCATGGTGATAACAAAAATCCTGGCATAAATTTTGTGTTCTTCCAATGGATTTAAATATTATTTTTCTTTTTCCCTTCTCTCAGTCTACAACTCAACCATTAAGGTCAGATTCCTAAAATGAATTCAAATCCAGGATCAAAAAAATCATAAATTCAGCATTAACTGTCGAACAAAGTAAAACCTAGTTCAAGACTTATATAAATTTGATTTCTGGGAATTTTGTTATGAGTATAGACTCATGGACGATTGTCATACTAAAATTCCATAAAAAAATCTAAATCCAGAAACTATTTATAAAAAATTCAAAACCACAGAGTGAAGATATACAATTTAGCATCATAAGCCAAATAGAGGACGACTCGGTTCAAGATTTTGATAAAATTCATTTTTGGAAAGTTTGCTCTGAAAATTTTACACAATATAGAAGTCTCATAGAGGAACATCATATAAAAATTTTGTAAAATTATGAGGTCAGGAACTATTTTTAAAATCTTATTACGGTAAGCTCAGCACACAAATTTACTTTGCACAAACAGGCAACAATCCTCAATTTCTACGATCCATGCTCTACCAATTATACATGATGATGCAACTACACATTTAATTTGAAGAATATAAGCATGAAGATAGAATGAGGTTACCTTCAAGAAGCCTTGGTGAATTTTCCAAAAAAAAAATTTGAATTTTTCTCTCATTTCTCCTTTCTAAAATGTTGGATGCAAGAACATACATATGAAAGTTGTTATAACAGCACCAGCTCATTTGCAAGAGAGTGACACATATCCCTTTCTAGTTCAATGCATGAATGGCGTGTCCTTCTTCCAATAAGCCACATGGCCAAGTAAGCTATACAATTAAGCATGCTAATTACATTTAAATTAATTATACTCTTCCTCGTTAGTTAGCATAAATCAAATAATTAATTATGCATCATAATTTACTTACATTCAAATCAAGGAAGAAAGACTCCAACATAAAAATGGGCAAAACATTTCAAGTCTAAATCATGTTCAATTTAAATTCAAACACAAGCTTGATCTTTTATATGTTTCCAACACTATCCCCTAAGTAGCACAAACACGCCGACATGACAATTTTCAAAAATTGTAAACCTGATATGCCTAAGACACGTTAAAAATCTATATTTTTATAAATTTATTATATGTTAAATATATGAACAGTTTATTCAAATATAATAAAAAATAGCAATATAACACTAATTAAAATTAAAAAAGCATACATTCCATAACTTAAACATCAAGATATCATCCACATAACAATTCCATTCTAAAAAATGCAAAACAATTGTAAAGCACTGAAATACATATGATATATTCATCGAATACATATTTCAAAACATATTTAGAGTAAACGAGTTGAATTCTGCAAAATGCAAAACATTGTTACTAATATGATTCATCACATAGAACGTGTTTGGATGGTTTCAAAACATGTCGCCAAAGTGTCCTCAAAGCATCGGTAAAGTGTTTAATATTATGAATTTAAATTTTTAATTAAGAAAGTTGAAAAATTGTCGAACACAGGAGTGCCTACAGAGTGCTGATGTCTTACACTAGTGCCTGACACAACTTGCCTCCATAGAAGTATTCGTGCTTCTTAGTCTATCCCCATGTTGTGACTCGTGAGTTAATTTCTTATGTTGCGAAATTCTCATTAACTTCTCCTTCTCCTACAATTAATGCAAGATCAGCTCTACGCAAAATTTGCAAGTAGTAATTCCAACCTTCATAAGAACCCCGTATCCACAATACATTGTTATTTTATAGATCTCATTTGATTTTATTTTGAGAAAATTTGGAGCTTGTGCAATCAAGTACAAAATTTAGCTTCATTTGGTAGCTAAAATACAAAAATGGAAGGCATACATATCTTGGTTCCCTTTAAGATATTCATTCAGTTTGATTATATTCACATTGAATATTTCATCCTGCATCTGCAACACTTACAATAACCAGAAATAACCCATTGTTTCCTAGTCCACCATCCACTTGTTTACTGCCCAATGCCCATTTAGTTTTTTAAGAGAGGGATCATATGGGTTTGTGGGACATAGGGGGGAATCGACTTAATGCATTTCAAGTTGCTACGATCCAATTGATAGGTTTATGGTAATAAATGCTGATTGGGGAAGTTAAGATTGAGTGGAAAATTATGTACATTCACTGAATCATGTTTCTTAAAAATAAAAAAATTATATATATATATAAATAAAGAACTAGGGAGAATTCTCAAGATATTATTTATAGCTAAAATAATAGCTAAAGTTCTTTGTCAGTATTTAGAGTCATAAGCAGAAGAGTGTAAAAACGAAATAGAATGTTGCACGTGTCAATGCATCCAAAATGCTGCTTGATATCCAAAACACAAATGATTGGCAATGTTGAAGCAACCACTTTATATTTCCCTTCTCACAACGTTTTAAAGCCTAATAAAACTCAAACGTGTGTCCTAGTTGGTGCCTGTCCTAGTTTTTTTTTTTTTTTTTTTTTTTTTTTTTTTTTTTGACAAGTAGATGGTATATTAAAAAACACACATACACACAAAACGGCACCAAAGGATGCAACCCATATAGGATGTGCCAAAGGAAAAGAAAAAAACTATGCCACCTATACAACAAACTACAAGAACACTACATACCAAACCAAGCCAAGACTTAAGTCCTATCAAATGGGGTCGACTACATAAATCCTTCTTCTCCAAGTGGCCCTCTCAAAGGCCATTTCATTAGTCAAATTAAGTAAATTCATATCTCTATATACAAATTTGATTCAAGGATGATTCAACACCACCAATGAACAACCATACAAGATACAAGAAATTGGCTTTTTAATCCAAAAATTGGATCTTCAAAGCCATAGAACATCCTCTGATTGTGTTGCCCCTAATTATCCACATCAATGCCAAAGGACCAAAAGCCAAGCTTTTTTCCTCTTCTTACTCACTATTACTCCTCCACTCTATGAAATCACCCTAAACAAATTGTACAGCACAAGTTAAGTGTGAAATAAAATGATCCCGAGTTAAAAATAGTGCTAGAGTTGTTATGGGGATTAAGTGTCACAGGAGAAGCTGATCAGAGGACCTATTTGAAGTAAACTTCCGTCAAGTTAAAACTAACAATCTAAAGGCAGAAGTTAAAAAACATTCCTCTAACTTGCTAATAATCAGCTTTTTTGGTCATCTTGCTTAAGCCATATTTGCATAGGGTGCTCGAAGCAATTAGCAGCACATAGGTCACACCAATACTGTAATGCCCTATTTGGTTCAGTGGAATGAGTTGAAATGGAATGGAATGATCATTTCTTATTATGGAATGATCATTCCTTACCATGGTGAGCTTTTCACAATTCGTTTAGTCAAGAAAACATGGGAATGAATATTTCAATAGAATGATCATTCTATTTGAATCCGTTCCCGTTAACCAAACATTACGTAAGAGAATACAAAAACAAAAACCTGAGGATTTGCTCAAGAGTGAGCCGGCCTTCATTCCGCTGCATCTCGGTCTGGACAGACCCATTACACCTATCCATAATAAGAGACAGACAGCCCTCCATCCTCGTAGCTCCATGGAAAACACACACATTCCGACACCACATAGATGCCCGCCGTAAATTCTCCAGTTGACTCTGCACCCAAACCAAGTCCATATCATCGTCATCCCCAATCGCCACTTTTTTCACCGCCACACGGTGCCGACACTGCCCTTGCCCGCCAGAAAGCACCATTGCCGACTCCCGCCCACATTGTGTCCACCCCCGCCCTGCCGCCCCTCCCAATCCGCGAACCAGCCGCAAGTCATGGTGCGATGCGAGCTCGATACCCGACCCACCTCTGCTGCTGCTGCTGCTGCTCCCGCAGCCACACCCTGAGCTGGAAGCATGAGGCTGCTTGCTGCAGCGGCGGCGCTGCTGCCTAGACTCGTCATCGTCGTCATCGAGATCGTCATCGTTTTCTTCGCCGTCATCAGTAAAATCGCAGTCGAAACCAGAAGCGGTGTTCGAGGAAGAGTGGATAAGAGCGAGAATTGCGTAGTTCTTGCGGAGGGCTTGTACGGAGTTTCCGACAACGGAGACGTGGCGGCAGCGAGGGCACGAGAGGGTTGTGTCGAGCGACGCCGAGAACATCCGAGAGAGGCAGTCTTTGCAGAAGCCATGACCGCATTGGAGCAACAACGGACACCGCACTGCTCGTTGTACCGCGTCTGACACACTGAACAACAAGGAATCTTCATCTTACTGAGATTGATTTCACAATCAACCAATTTTCAATTCGAGAAAAATTAAAATTCAATTTGAGATCTTAGAGAGCGAGGAAGAGTTTCAAGTCGGAGAGAATGGCAGATCCATAGCTGAATTCGGAGATAGAAATGAGAGAGAGAGATGATTTGCAAATGCAAATCGGGGAAGCAAAAACCCAAGATGAGGAATTTTTAGAGAGAGAGCGAGAGAGTAACAAAAGAGTCCAAGTACAGAAAGTTGTCACCGGAGCTACCCAATTTAAAAAGTTTACGTATAAATTTCAGGGCTCGGCTTCTCTCCAGTCGTTAATCGGGCTGGATTGTGCTGTTAGGTTCGTAGAGGCTCACTACAGATTTCGTTTTGATAATTTAAACCGTTTAATGTGTAGAACTCGTCGAGTGCTATAAATTTATAAAAAATCACATTAATCGGATATCGGTAGCTATGTGATCAAATCAATTTTGTATAAAAAAAAATGGACGGTGAATAAATTAACGGTTGACAAAAATCTGATTTGATCACATAGCTACCGATATTCGATTAACGTGATTTTTTACAAACTTATAGTACTCGACGAGTTCTACACATTGAACGGTTCATATTATCAAAACGGGACCCGTGGTGGATCTCCACGAACCTAACAATACGATCCAATTCGATTAAGAACTAAACAGAAGCCAACGCTTAAATTTTATTTTGAGAAATTGTGATCCATTAGGTGGGTGTTTGGGGGGTGAATTTTTTTTATAAATTGTTTTAGTTGTAAAGATATTTTTTGAGGAAAAAAATTTTTGTTTGGGAAGATAATTAAATTTTTTTGTGATAATTAGATTTTTTTGTGATTAGATGTGATGTTTGTGAAATAAAAAATGAAATGATTATGGGGTTTTATGTAATAATTTGTTTGGATTTATTTTTTAAGTTTTGTAATCAATTTGTCTTTTAGTAAAAACAAAAAAACAAAAAAAAAAACACAAAAAAATCTTTCTTAAATACCGCCTAAATTTTAAGAATTTTTTTTACAAATTAATTGGTCTTCGTAATTTTAAAAATGTGGATTTAATATAAAGTGTTGCTATTAACACTTACCGTTTTCCTTTGAATTCTCACATTTTATTTATTTTTTTTATTATAATTTTGTCTTAATACCAATTTCTATTATTACCCATCCCTATCCTTCCAACCCCAACCATAACCTTAGCCCTCTATCTCTATCTCCACTCCGACTGGCAATCTTCTCTCTCACACTTTATTTCTTTCCCATTTTGCTATTTGGCTTTTCTATTCATTAACTTTCAATCTCTCTCTACTATTTGGTAATTGACACACAAATGACTTCTTTTTTTTTGTCCCTTTTTTTCTTCATGATCTCCATCTCTATTGTTGTCCTCTTGGTGTCTTTTCATCGATTCAAAGTCAGTGGTGACAGAGACTAGTCCAAACCCATTAGAAACAACTCAGCGACATACTTTAATCACTAGGATTCCATCAATGGGTTTTATGTTAGAGATACAGTTTGTAAGTTTACACTCTGCACACACATCTCATGATTTCTCGTGATTGTCTACAAATTTACTCAAATTGCTCTCTCTTTTTGTTATTACAATACCATTGGTGGGACTACCGGCTATGAAAGCTCTGGTGAGTGAGCCGCCGGAGGTGGTGATTGGGAGTGCGGACTAGAGTTTGGGTTTGGTTTTGGATTTGGGATTAAGGGTATAATTAGTATTAATATAAGAGTTCAAAAAAAAATGGAGGGGTTCATTTTGTTAGGTGTGGGTTCAAAGAAGTGAGAGGGTCAAAGTAAAATAATGGGGGCAAATAGTAGCATTTTTTAATAGATTATTTAAAAATTAGATTTACGGTTATACTTATATTTTAATTTTTTTTTTTGGTTTAAAAAAGTAAGGTATAAAATTTATAATAATCAAATTTGAGATGAATTTTTATGAGAATCTTTTTTATTTAGAAAACATTTCAAAATGAGTATAAAAATGACTTGAAATATTGGATTCTTCAAACATTTCAAAATGATGTGAGATTCTTTAAACATTTTAAAAGGAGTATAAAAACTCCTTAGCAAGTTTTAGACAAATACATAATTTCAAACTGTAACACTCCAAAAAAATCCGTAATATACTTTTCCCAAACATAACACTCTAAAAAAATTCTTACTGTAACACTCTAATGTAACACACAAAAAAAACTTCTTAGTGTACTTCCTAAATGTAACATTCCAACAAAACACTCTAAAAAAATTCTTAGTATAATATTCTAATGTAACACGCAAAAAAATTTCTTAATGTAACACACAAGAAAACTCTTTATTATACTTTTCCCAAACACAACACTCAAAAAAAATTTCTTAGTGTAACATTTTAATGTAACATACAAAAAAAAATTATTTTGTGTATTTTTCTCAAACGTAACTCTCTAAAAAAAGAACGTGGAATTCTTTAAACCATTCTGAAAAGAAGTGAGATTTTTCAAACCATTCTAAAAGGAGTACAAAAATTCCTTAGTAAATTTTGAACAAATGTATAATTTTAAATTGTGAGTATTATGTTTGAAAAAAGTACACTAAAGAGTTTTTAGTGTTTTGTGTGTATTACATTAGCGCATGTTACATTTGGAATTATATCGATTGAAGTGTTACGTTGATTGGAGCAATACATTGATTGGGGCATGTTACATTAGAATGTTACATTTGTATTACATTGGACTATTATATTTGGAAAAAATAAACTAAGGAATTTTTTTTAGTGTTATGTTGTTACGGTTTGAGAAAAGTACACCAAATTTTTTTTTAGTGTGTTACATTATTAGAGTATTACATTATTAGAGTGTTACATTAGAGTAATATGTTTTTGTTCGTGATGTGGGATTTATTTCAGAAGGGAAAAAAGTCCAAAACTTTTATGGTATGTATAGCCTAAATGCGTAATTTTACATTTGAAAAAAACTTACTTTTATCTATAAAAAATTAAACTCAAACATGTAAGTGGCTATCATTTTATGTAATTTCTACTTCAATGAGACCTTTAGGTTCATAAAAAATAAAAATAAAAAAAGACTAAGGCTTCGTTTAGGGAATGGGTTGGCTTTTTGGTTTTTTTAGCCTGGGACTAAAAGTCTGGTTTGGGAAAGACTTTTGATTTTTTTGACTTTTTTTTTAGAGAAAGAATGTAATGATTATAAGTTTGATGTGATATTTTATCTTATTGGACTAAAAAGCCTATTTTATTTTTGATAACTATTTTAGCCAAAAAAAATTCCAAACCCATCTTGTCAAACGTAAGGTAAATAATTTACAAAATCACATTTTATAATTTATTACTGCTTCACCCTATAAATTTTACTAATGTATTACTGCTTCACCCTATAAATTTTACTAATGAGGTAATGTGATGTGATGTGATTTAATTAATTTATTTATTTATTTAACAATTAATTCTTGGTGGTTCGTAAGAATTCACCTAATCCTACTTGGAGCATACATATTACATAAGGACTGAATTCACCTAATCCTATATGGAGTGTATGGCTCTCTTTGGTATAACTTTTAAATTATAATCTCACTTCTACATTTTAATGCTATATTTGGTTAAAATTTTTAATAATTAATTTTAACGCCACATTTAAAAATATATTTAATGTATATTTGGTACTGTGAGTTTTTGATTTGGAAGTTTGGGCTTTGAGTCATCTCCCTAGACATCCTCCAAATGTCCTGCCAGTCATCTGACCAGTTGATCGGAACAATACTTTTTTTTTAACAATTGTCAATCATTGTCTGTTATTTGAAAAAAAAATATTATATTTATTTTTGATATTTTTTAAGTATAAAAATTATTTTTTTAGACCAAAATAACAAATTAATTTTTTAAATTGAATTTTAAAAATAGTTTGGCTATGAATTTTGAATAAAATTTTGAATTGTGTGTTTGGTTATGAGTTATAAGTTTTTGGATTTAGCTTTGAAAACTCTTTTCAAAATTCATAGCAAACAACTTTTCTCACTTTGTATGTCACATTAAAAATTTAAAACTCAATTCAAAATTTTTTTTAAACTCATAATTAAACAAATTTTCTCTTTTTAAATCATAATTTCAAAACTCACAAATTTAAAATATAACTCTATTATCAAATTATAATTTTAAAATTCTACCAAACATTACCCATATTACAAATTTTTTTTTTTTTTTTGGAACACACCTATATTACAATAAGTACCATAAAATTTGACGTAATTATATTGATTTTTTTTTTCAAGATTTTATTAATTTAAATAAAATTTAGCAAATTTCTCAGTAGTATTTTATTAGTTACATGAATACAAAAATGATGTTATGTATTTAATATTGGAATACATATAGTATATTCATATTTATTCTTATGTTTATAGGAAAAAATTTTAATAGACATTTTTTTTTTTTGGATGTGTACTATATGTAGAGCTATGAACTTTGTGATCTTTGATTATAATTCGTTGTGTTATTGATAATGAGTATGAGGTTGTTTTGAATGAACAATATAAATGTACTTTTTGACTTTTTGAATAAAAAAGTAGAGGAAAAAAATATAGTTGTTTGGGATAATTTTTTTGATTTTTTACGAAAAAATGTGTATTAAAATATTGTATAAAATAGCAAAATTACCGTGTTACTCCTAATATCTCTAAATGTGTACTGACAGTGATTGTATAGGAAGCCAGTACGATGGGCAACATATTTCAGAAGATGTATAGGAGAAGCTTGCCTCCAGTCCGAGATCGGACTATACGGTGTTGTTTGGCCCGTGGGGGCTCACCAGGGATCCCATTTTGATAATCAGAACCGTTCAATGTGTAGAACTCGTCGAGTGCTATATATTTACAAAAATTTACGTTGACCGGATATCGATAACTATCTCATCGGATTAGTTTTTTGTCAACCGTTAATTTGTTCATTGTCTATTTTTTATTATACAAAATTGATTTGATCATATAGTTATTGATATCCGATCAACGCGATTTTTTACAGGCATATAATACTCGATGAGTTCTACATATTGAACGGTTCAGATTATCAAAACGGGATCCGTGATGGGTCCCTACGGGCCGAACAGCCCATCTTGTGTAAATTTTTTGTGCACCTGCCTGTGTAATTTGTACCATTACTTTAGACTGTACCATCACTATGGGGGTGTTTGTTTCAGCTTTTCAGAGCCAATTTATGGCTTTTAGCTTTGAAAAAGTTATTTT